GCACTGCATACTGGACCTGTAAAGTAGGTGCAAAGACCAGGTTCATGCAGTGAATGATGGCTCAGCATTCCTATCTCTATAATAAGCTTTGCAACCTTTCTGTTCTTCCCTTACACTACTTTCAGCACCTCCAGAGTGCTTAATTTCAGTGCTCAGGACAAGAGGACAGTGCTGTCTTACGGGACTCTGGAAATGTAGCTGCTGTCAAGCAGGAGTGGGTATTAGACAGCCCATCTGCAATAACTTGACGGGGAGAGTTTGGAGGTCAGAGAAAATGTGCTGAAGAAGTGCTGCCAGCCTGAGCATAGTGATTTTGCTTTCCCTGTGCATTGGACCCAGACCAGCTTGTTGTGAGGTTAAGGCAGGCAGGGTGGTGTTCCTCGCCATGGTGGGTGCATACGGACTGGAAGATGCTGGGAATTAAGGGACCGGTAGCTTAGCGTTGCTGTGGTGCTTTTCACTTCTCACACGTGATATTACAACTAGTGGCAAACTAAACTGAGGAATCAATTAAATCTTTTCTTTCCATGCATGCCATATAGGTTTTCACAGGAGCACTTTCCTGTCAGCAGACTCTGCATCTTCAGAAGTTGTTTTACCCTGAGCTTCTCTGAAGGGCAGCAGTGCTTGTTTCTGTTTATCAAGGAGTAACCCTAGGCAGTTTTTAAAGACTTTATAGAAACAATTTTTTAAATGTTACTCACTGGCTGGAGAGCTACTGCAGCCACTGCAGAAGCAAGCCCTGTTGCAGTGAAGACGGTGAGGGGGGGAATGCAACTCACCTGGAGACACACCTTCTGTCATCATAGCTCAAAGTGAAAGCAGCAGTGGGAGATGTCCCCATTTGGGGGGTGGGGGGAGTGGAAATAGGAACCACATGGAGATTCCCCCACTTCTCACCTTCCGGCCCATGTGTTTTCGAGGGAGAAAGGACTAGTAACAGTCACTTCAGGACCGGCCAATTATTGCAGCCTCAAGAACAGCCAAAGTAGAAACTTCTCACCAGTCAGAGCTTTCCAGTTTGCAGAGGACAAGAGTGCCCTGTCATCAGTTGCTGTTACCCTGATCATCTCTGTCCTGCAGTCTTTTCACCTCTCTGTTTTTCTTGATCCTATCTGCTCTTCTGTTTCCTTTTCCCCATCTCTGTACCTCTTTCAGTATTGTTTTTCTGTGTTTTTCTATCCTTGGTTTATCTCTAACTGAAGTCTTTTATGATGCTCAATAAGTAACAGCACTGTTATGTTTTCTGTTGCCACCATGCTTTTTTCAGTTTCTGAGCTTTCCCTGTTCTCTTGCATTTGAGATCGTTAGTTCTCTAGGACAGAGGCTTCCCACCACTCTGTAGTTGTACAATACCTGTTACAGTGGGACCCACTTTTACTGTCTAATAATGTGATTAATACAGCTCGTACAAATAAATTATTCATTGGCACTTAGGTTCTTAAATCAGGGTGGAACACTTCATATTTTTCCTGCAATCATTCCCTCCTTCCCAAATAAATAAATAAATGCAATAAATAGCAATAAATGCATAAATAAATAAATGCAAGTGTTCTAGGTTGTTCATCCTGAAGAAAATAGGAGTTCATATGTGTCTTTGTATGGCTTCTGGCACCATGGTGTCTAGGTAGCTTGCTTTCTGAAGAGTTGCATGAAGAAGTGACAGGAGAATGCGTGTTTTTTCTGAGAGCACTGGCATGGCTAGTGTGTAAATGATTCTCACTGAGAGATTGAGGAATAAAGAATGTGGAGATTGCTTGTGGTCTGCCTTGGAGCACTAAGCATCAATGTTGAGACAAGCCACTGGGAGCCAGTTTTTTTTTATTCCTGAACCATTATTTCACCTTCTGCCTGTTCAGCATCCTTCCCTTGTCCAGTGACAGTCTCCTCTCTTGCCAGTTGGCTGCTGAACTGTGGATCTGTCAGAGGAGGCAGTGTTGCTAAAGTGACATCTCCCCAAACATATCTCTAGTCACTAGAGAATTGTGTCCCAAAAGCACTCTGAAATTTGCATGACAAATGGCAGCCAGCCCTACTGAGAGACTTAACGGTGTGGAAATACGTAAGTGTGCACACTATCAAAGGCTAGTTGGGGAGCTGCAGTGTTTTGTCTTTCAGTTGACATTTTACCATTTCCTTGCTTTACGAATGTGTTGAAGATGCTAGTGCTTCATGAATACCAAACACAAGGTTTTTGTTTTTTTTTTTTTTTTTTGTATGATCGAGATGAAAATCTCAGTAGAGCACATCACATCACAAATCTTTTCCAAGCACTTTAACTACTCCCTTCCCCCTCCCCAAAGGTACTGGCTGATAGCCCAATAATCAAGGCAATTGCAGTGTAAAAATAAAACATTGCCAAGTCTCAGCTGTTACATGCTGGTGTGTGAACTAATGATGGCAAAGCCGCTGTTCTATTGTCCGTAAGGGGGAGACTGTGCTTGAAAGCTCTGGTCCCCTGTTGTCTCCAGGAACAAATGCCTGTGGAGTGGCAACTTTGCAAAGTGAAATTCCAGCTGTTACTCAGTAGCCCAGGAGGCCAGTTGCCTAAAAGTATGACCCCAGGACAAGATGGATTTTGAGAGATGGAAGAATAGCGGAGACGTATCAGAGTAGTTGATGCAGAAAGGAGCTACTACTGCACAGCAGCTTGGCTGGGTAGCGATGGAATTTCTTGTAGCAGATGTGTGAGGAGGAGCTATACTATGCGCAGAGCCTGGCCTTGGTAGCATATGCTGGGCAGTAAGAACCTGGCTACACAGAGCCAGGATTGAATCCAAGCTCTTCATGCTTCCCTGCCCCAGGCTGCTTGCAGGTTCAGGAAAACAGCTCTGCAGAAAATCAGGTTGGAAAGGAATTCTTCATAGTGAAAGGGTTCTCTTAAAACAAATTAAACAGCTGAACTTCTTCCTCTAGTTGCTGAGGAATTGTCCATTCACCTTTAGTGAAATGAGGAAGGATTGAATTACTTCTCTTCCTTAATGTCTCTTGATTCTTACTGTAGTGGCAGCTGGTTGCTGGTTTTCCTTTCCCTGGGTGAATCCCAGCTGTGATTGCAGGTGCCGCTCCACCAGCTCAGATCTGAGCAGGGACTTGTGAGCAGGCGGCCCATGTTGAAGTGCTTCACAGCAGTGGATACAAATGAATGCTAAATCTGTTCCCTGGTAAATGTTGGAACCATGTGAGTGCACTGAACCCCGCCGAGCTGCCAAACCTTCTGTCAAGCCAGAAGTTAAGTTGTTGTAAGTCTATATTCCCTTTTCTTTCAGTAGCTTGTAGTGTGTCCTGTAGGAGCGTAAATATGACTCTAGCCAGGCATGAAACATGCAACTTGAAAGCCACAGTGTTCGAGAGGCTGGGTAATAGAGAGTGTGATTATAACTCACAGGAGCTGTTTCTCTGGTCAGATTGAAACGGGAGGAGTCTGGGCTTGTCTCTGCCTGCCTACTTGCCCTCCTCCCAGGGGAGGAAGGGTACGGGAAGCCTGGCAGGGGCCCTGCTGAATTCATTTTACTGATGTAACTGTCAAGGCTGGCGAGACCGCAGAAGCTCCCCTGTGCTAAGTATGTACTGGTGCTGTAGGAGCAGCTGCTGAAGTGACTGCCCTGTGCATGGACTGCATCTGGTGTGTTGATGAGGTGTGTGGCTGGGAATGTTGCAGTGAATCTGCAGCTTGTTTGGGTTTGTTTTTTGTTTTTCCCCCCACTCTTCTCCCACTCCCCCTCCACACTGTTTTTCTTTATCTGTGTATTTAAAGAAGTAAGGGTGCTTCCAGGCGGGTTTTTTTTCCACCAACTCTGATTGGCACCACTGAATATCACTTATTCCTGGACTTGGGCACCAGCTCTTAGCTGTGATGAGGTCTAGAGAAAGTAACTGAAAACCCTTCTGCAGGGGGAGGTGTGGGGAGGAGGGAACCCATTAGAGTGTAGCAGAGGGAGCTGGAGTGAATTTTCATGCTGATGAATATGAGAGTGAAAGCCCTGACTGCTGCTGCGGTGTAATTTGGCCAAGCAAGTGTTCTCCAGGCACCATCAGCACACATCTGTGCCAAGCACTTGACATGGGCTGTTCCCATCATGAGCGTTTACCTCAGCAGTGGGTCTCATGAGTAATATCCCAACTAGACCAGTTGCAAACCCTAGCCTGGGGAGACTTTACTGTCTTGCCATTTGTCTTCTCAGCTGCACCTAACAAGCAGAGGAGAGGCTGAGGAAATATTCCAGCTGCAGTTTGATTTCCCCCTCCCAATTATTATTTTACTTTTCAATTTCAGATTTCTCACACCTGCCTCTAGATCCACCGGGAAGGGGAGGGGAGGGGAGTATGTTGGTGCAGGCAGTGAGAGAAATGAGGCAGAGAAGTAGGAGTGATCAGTGTTTCTGCTGCCATGTTTGGGACACTGGCATGTGTTATCTCTAATGATCTAAATTGGGGCTGAGGACTAAAGTCATTATAGGAAGAAGTCAAAGTAGTGGCTGCAGTGATGGATGACTACAAGTAAGAACCAACTACAACATTTTAAACATAGTGTAGATCCAAAGCAATAAACCATCAGCTTCAACACATGAGGCAACAAAGTTCCATAGAGCAAAATGTCAGGCGATACCGATTTTGGAGGGGATGAGGAGATAGAGTTCTTGAGCAAGGATGGGGCAGCGATGGCCAGGATTGCTGTGCCTGTGCTGGAACACCAAGCAACTTGCAGCCTGCTCCCAGCAAGGCAGCGATTCCCTCTGCCAGAGCGGCGAGCACAGCCCCGTATCTGCTGGGACAAATGTACCCACGTGTAGGGCAGTGCCTGCGCTCGCACTTCCCAATGAGCCTGTGACTGAATCTGCATTGGCCTCTCAGTAGGGAGCAAGCAATACAGTGCAGTGAGGGAGGAACTACGTCTTGCAGGACTGTGGCTCCATGTGCACTGACAGGCTGGCGGGGCATTTCTGCTGCATCCCTAAGCTGTTCCTGAGACCTCTGAAAATTTCCCTCCTTTGTTTCAGAGCCATCATCAATCACTTCAACCCGAAGATAGAGTCTTACGCTGCAGTGAATCACATATCACAGCTTTCTGAGGATCAGGTAAGCCAGGCGTGCGATGACCCTTTTTCATGTTGACTTCTGGCATATAGGTGTTTAGGAGTACCTTGTGCTCACTGGGACTGATGATGTTGCAGCAATATGAGGGGTGAAGGTGGGACTCTCAGTTCCTTGTTCAGATGTGGACGAGAGGAAGAGAAACAAGGCTTGCTTTAGCCAATTTTACCATCGCATGCAGACTGCTTGGTCAAGCAAATGCAGAAGGATGGGTACGAATGATGAAAATATGCAGTATTGTCAGCAAGTGTGGTTGGAGACTGTGAGGATGCTGGCGTTTAGAATGGGGCAGGAAGTTTTTGCCAGCAAATTTAGTTATTGGAGAACTGTTGGGCATAGCTTGATTTTCTATGATATCGGGGAATTAGAACTCAGGCAGCAGTTGGTAGAAATTTTCTAGGGTAATTGAATTCAGTTGTTTTAGATTTTGAAAAGAGAAGGTTTTTAATAAAGAGGGTGATAAGGTTAGGTTTCCCTTCCTTAATTTGGCCTGGTTTGCTCTCTTCGTGTCCTGCTTGTATTGCATGTGTAAATGTGGCTTTTTGAAAATAGGCTACTGTGTGCGGTCTCAGGAAGGGAAGAGATGGCCTATTTCCCCAAATAAAATATTGGGATTATATGCTAATCACTCTTGGAGAGGTAAATGACTCTGCAGCAGCCTGTGGTGGACAAAAATACAGAGCTGCTATGCGAGCTTGGGGGATCATCCCAGACACAGCTGCGTCAGCACCTCTGGACCTTTTGGAGAAGAAATTCTGTATGCAGTCTAGGAGAGACCTCATTTGAGTCACCTTGGATTGCTCCTCCCGCTGGGTGGGATCCCATGCTTGTGCCTGTTTAAAGGTCCTGACTGTATCTTGCTCTGCAATTCATTTCTCTTTCTGTCCATTATATTTTTACTCATTACTTGATGATACCCTTCCATGCTTCCCACTAACCTTTTCATTTATTATCCTACTTAATCTGTAATATGTAACACCCCCAAGTCTCAGGTTGAATGCTGTACTGGTGCAGTGGGGAAAAAAATGTGGACCCTACTGCTTTTTATTCTCGTCTTGATATAGCTGGCTAGAAGAACACTGGTTTTAATTTACTCAATTTTTCTGTATTGTTCTGCCTCTAAGAGTCACTGTACCCACAGCTATGCTTTGTGATGGTTGATGTTATCAATCCTCATTCATTGATGATACACTGATTGCATCAATCCAGGCCCCTAAAAAAAGAAAAGCCTTTGATAGCCCAATTTAAAACTGGGGGCTTGGATAGAGGGGAATTTTACATAGTGTTTAGGTTAGTCTGAGAAAGGAAACGAGCTTTTCACTGTCAGCTCTGTGTAGTGTTCATCCCCCAGCAGTTCAGGGAGGTCAGGTTAAACCCTTTCTTCCTTGTGTGTTATTCTTTAAATAAAATCTCTAGCAGGAGGCAGATAATGAAATCAGTGCTGATGCACAGAGCATTTTGAGGAAGATGATTAGGAAGTTGAAAGACAGTTAGATTTCTCTTTTTTCTTTTCTCCCTTCATGCTTTTTCTCAACAGAGAGAGAACATCAAACAAAGCAAAGCAATAACAGGCCCTAGTGAACTACAGAGAAATAACGGGAGATGTCACTGTGGTGAGGGACTGTATGGTCTCAGTGAGGGTGGTTAGTCAGCGCTCTGCAATTTACTGCACAAGGAGGAGAGGGATGGAGACTTCTTGCCTCCACTTTCAATTTGCCAGTGAGCTCAGGTCTGTGTGTTGGACTGTGTTTTCCCCTCCATCAGTAGCTGTCCCACGTAGTAAGTACATGAGAGGTAATGGTAGGTGGCCAAGATCAAGGCCAGGGTCTGGCTTTTGTGGGGTAACAGAATTTGTTGTTTTCATTCTATGTTAGTTGTTCAGCATGGGGGGGTCAAGCTTGCCTTTTGGCTGCTGCAGTCTCTCTTTTTTTTCCTTCCAGCTGTACCTTTTGTTTTCACACGTGTATTCACTTAATTCCCCTTCTCTCCTCTCCGTAAATGTTTTCTACACAAAATCCACCTTCCTTTCTAGCCCTGTTTTTTGAGTGTACCACACTGAAATACTTAACGCTGACATTTAACTTGTGTATCCACACACAGATACTATATTTGGGACTGGTCATTATCTCCTTAGAGTTATTTCAATAGTTTCAAGAGACTTGTATTTCTTTACTGGGAACATTTATTTTTACAATTTTGAGGATCAAACTTTTCTTTTAATGAAGCTTTCCTTCCCAGATACTAGCCTTTGGCCAGATTCTCATACGGCTGCTCATACTCCTGTGTGGTATCTCAGAATCTCCTGTTAGTCAGGCAAGCATGGTTTTGACATAGCTCTATCTGAAGGGCAATTTCCAGCTGCTCTGAGTTGCTTCCAATTCACTTGAACCTGCTCAGCTTGCAGACTCTTGAGCCTGTGTCAAACTTGCTATGCTGCTCCCTTGACTGTTCTGGCACCCTGTTCATGTGTTAGATGATTATTTTTTTTATTTTTGTATTTTTAATATCCTTAAAAGTAGCTAAGTAATCAGCTGAAAGAGATTTTGCTCTATCTTTTTATTTTCCTAATCCTATTGAAGGCTTTATTACCTTGTTAACCACTAATGTCCGTTTATTACCATTCTCAGTCTGTCATTTCAGTGCTTTCTCCTTTTTTATTTATAAGCATTAATGTTAACATTATTACATGCTGAGGGGATTTGTAGGCCCTTGAAAATGATGGACATGGGATTGTTTTAAGGATAGACTGTTAATACTGCTGTACATCTTCAGCCCTAAAGATCTCCAGGAACCATAGTTTGAATATATAGATCTGTGCTCTAGGCAGGTATATTTGCAAGACTTCATGATACAGCTTTGCTGACTGTTGCGGGGTTTATCCAATATTCAGATCAGAAATACTGGGAAGAGACCTTTTTCTTTCCATATTCTCTTGAGCAAAGAGTAGGAGATTCCCTGGGGTGAGCAAATGCCAGGGATTTGATGATGAGCCACCTCAGTCTATCAACACCATGTGATCCTTGCCAGTGCCATTCTGCGAAGAGTCTACTTGCCAAAGCAAACTCATAATCCTTCCTAGTCGTTAGCTATTTTGACCTTGCTGTAGTTCCTCGCCATGAAACAGGAAACGTCTTAGCCAGTTATTGGTGTCTTCCTTCACTTGCTAATTTGTTAAACCTGACTTCAGTGTTAATTTGTGTTTTTGCATTATCCTCCCTCTCAACACATTTGGCTCCTGCCTGCATGTCCTTTAAGGAATTGAAAGATGCTGCACAGTCAAAAAGAAACGGTTGGCCATTAACTGCCAATGTAGTTTTAGCTCTTCTATGCAAGTGATTATCCCTATGTCTTCAAAGATGTTTGGGTCTCTTCTCAAGTCAAAGGGCAAAATAGCCTTCTGTGAAATGAATTCATAGCCTTATCTGTACTCTCCAGGTGACTGGACTGCCTTGTAGTTAATACATTGGAGGCAATAGACTTTCTCTATGCTATATCTGATCTGAGAAGCTCCCAATGTGTTTTCCAGCAGAAGCAGTTGCAGGAGACAGGGTCAAGGCAGTGGGAAAACAGCAGCACAAGAGTTGCTCCAGAAGGGCCAGTGCAGACAAACATAAAGACTGATGACACAGGGCATGAGTAATCTGGATGGGGTCTCACATCTGCCTTTTCTGGATGTGAAAGAAGAGCTGTGTGTAAGAAGGCAGCTCTCTGCCTGATGGTGATGTAGCACAATTATTCTAGAGAGACTAAAGTAAGAGGAACCCAGTACTTATTTTGGTGAAATCTCTTCAGAGCAGGAATGTCTTGCGGTACCTTGCATGCCAAGCAAGTCTTGTGCTAATTTGCTGGAGACTTAGGTAGCAAAATTGCTCACTAAGGTCTCATTTTCTCTTTGGCACTTGTTCCCTCTATGATTTCCACTCTAAGGGTCTTAAAACTGAGGTGGCAGACAGGTAGGACTGATGGTGCTTGCTAGTCAGGAACATCTATGTGCTTTTTCTAATAGAAGCTTCTCTTTCTTCCCAGCCACAGCAGGGACACTAGGTACCTCCGGTTTGGAGGTGGCATAAAGTTCAGTGTGAAAGACTGTTGTGAACACCTGTACTGTGTGTATTAGTCTGGTAACTGCAGATGGAAAGTGCTGGGAGCCAGAACAGATTGTGATGGAAAAACAGGACAACTGTATCGCTTTTGAAATTGTGACAAATGAGTGTAATACTTGGGTTGCTCTACATTGTAATACCTTTATAACTCGGGTAACTGCAATCCAGTTTGGTCAGGCAATCTCACAAAGCCATTTCCCTTTCCTTGAGGTCATACTCGAAACGTTGAATGCTTCCCCCTGCCCCCCCCAATCCACATGGCCTTTTGTTACCTGGTGGGGCTTCGAAGGGCTAAACCAAAGTGCAGCTCAGGGAGGCTCCACCAGTGACTTGCAGAGAAAGTCACAAAAGGATGCGGTTGGTTTTAGACGCCCTAAAGTATTCTAACTCTGAGCCACTGATGTCATGGTTTATTCAACTTGTTCTGGTTTCCGTAACTAGCAGCAAAACCACTGGCAGATACAAAACGCTTTGTTCTTTTTTAGCACTGCTGGCAGTGGCGTTAAGAGTTAAAAGCCTGTTGGCATGTGTGCGCTTGATATTTTTTAAAATGCCGAGTACCATCAGTGCTAGCTACTACTACAATAAATTCCCCTAATCTCTTACATTAATATAGTGTGTTGTGAGGGCTCCAGAAATAATGTTAAAATGGTTTTGGCATAATACTACTTCACTTCTGAAATGCAGTGAGCTTTGGGGTAGAAAATATCAAGCTTGCTAGTGACGTGTTGCACACAGTAGTAGGAAGGTGAAACTCCAGCTAAGGGGTCACCGAGGCAAAGCCCTAATTTAAAGTCATCAGATCTTTGCAAATGAGGCAGGGATGTTGGGTTTCATGGTCTCATTACAGGCACCTACTCATGATTAATGGCTTGAAACAGA